CGTCCCGTCCCTCCTCTGCTCGTCCTCCCCTCCACTGCACCTACTGCAATTTTGATTATCATACCCGAGACACCTGCCATAAACTTCATGGCTATCCCGTTGGCCATCCCCTCCATGGCCAACCGTGGCGACCACTGCACCGTGCCACTGCTTCCAGTTCTTCTCGCAGCCATGCACCTTCCAGTTCTCCCCGGCAGCCACGGTTTTCTGCTTCCCGGCCCCATAATTTCACCCAGACCCATCACGTGCAAGGCACCCAGGCCCCCGCCTCCTCTTCTACTCCAGCGACCCACCAAGTGCACGGGGCCCAGCCCACTTTGCATGACTTGCAGCTTGCCATGCCTGACCTCTCTGCCGAGCAGTACTCCCGTGTTCTAGCTGCTCTACGTGACACCACCACCCCTCCTCAGGCCAATGCCGTGCTCACTACTGATTTTGCCCAAGGTTTGTTACCTATCACCTCTCGTCATGGTCAATGGATTCTTGACAGTGGCGCTACGGATCATATTACTTCTTCCGCCTCATGTTTGGTTAATCGTTCTCCTTCACATTTGCCGCCTGTTTCTTTGCCTAGTGGTGCTTCCGCTCCCATTACTTTTACCGGCACTATTCCTTTAAATTCATCAGTTACTTTGAAGGATGTTTTATGTGTCCCTAATTTCTGAGTGGACCTTTTATCGGTTGGTAAACTTACAGATGGATTATCGTGTTCCATAACCTTCTTTCCTTCTTGGTGTGTTTTGCAGGACTTGGTTTCGAAGGCGATGATTGGTGTGGGTAAGCGACGTGGCGATCTGTATTACCTTGTGGCCCTTACCTCTTCTCTCCCCACCCGTCAACCTCTCTGCAACTTCATTACCATCCCCTCCTCCCTCTGGCATAGGCGTCTTGGTCACCCTTCCTCCACTCGTTTGCAAGCTTTAGCATCTAGCTCTCTTAATTGTACTTTTGATTCTAGTCATATTTGTGATGTTTGTCCGTTGGCAAAACAAACTCGTCAACCTTTTCTTTTGAGTTCAATTTCATCAACTTTCCCTTTTGCTTTAATTCATTGTGATATTTGGGGCCCGAATCGTCAATCTTTTCTTTCTGGTGTTCATTATTTCTTAACCATTGTGGATGATTTTTCTCGCTTTACGTGGGTCTTCCTCATGAAACATAAATCCGACACTCAACAATTAATTAAGGATTTTTTTGCTTATGTCACTACCCAATTCCGCACTACCATCCAATGCATTCGTACTGACAATGGTGGTGAATTTTTATCTCTTCGTAGTTTTTTCTCTGATCATGGGGTGCTTTTACAAACTTCTTGTGTTTATACCCCCCAACAAAATGGCGTTGTTGAAAGAAAACATCGTCATCTTCTTGAAACCGCTCGCGCCCTTCGTTTTCAATCCCATCTTCCTATCAAGTTTTGGGGGGAATGTGTTCTTACCGCTACTTATCTCATCAATCGTCTCCCTACCCGTCTTCTCCATCATAAATCCCCATTTGAGGTTCTCTTTTCGAAAACCCCATCTTATGACCACTTCCGCATCTTTGGTTGTCTGGCATATGCCACCTCTGTCACTCCCACCACCAAATTTTCCCCTCGGGCTCATCGTTGCATTTTTCTCGGTTATCCTCATGGACAAAAGGCTTATACCCTTTACGATCTTGACAATCACCGCATTTTCACTAGTCGAGACGTCATCTTTCACGAAACTACTTTCCCTTATGCCGTTTCTCACCCTCCTATCCCATCCTCTTCGCCCACCCTACCCATCCCACCCCCTCTGGACTTTACATATAACCCACCCCTTCCTGCCCCGACGCCTCACCCTCCTCCACCTTCCTCCCCTTCCACGCCTCCCACAGATTCCCTTGCTGCCCCATTACCCGTTCTTCCCCATGCCCCTTTACCCACGGACATCCCTACCCCCCCACTACCTACCACTCCTATCCTTCCCCGCACCTCTTCCCGTGCCCATAAACCTCCATCCTATTTAAAAGACTACGTTTGCTCGCAGGTGATTCTGCCATCCCACCCATCTTCGACTTCGCAACCCGGTTCTACACAAGGTACGCGATATCCACTTTGTAATTTTCTCTCTTATCACCGTTACTCTCCCAGGCATTTTTCTTACATTAACTCTGTCAGTCGGACTGTGGAGCCTTCCTCTTTTGCCGAGGCTGCCACTGACCCCAATTGGCAACGTGCTATGACTGAGGAGCTTCAAGCTTTACATGCTAATTATACTTGGACTTTAACTTCCTTGCCCCCTGGCAAAATTCCCATTGGTTGTAAGTGGGTGTACAAACTCAAGCACAATTCCGACGGCTCTATTGACCGCTACAAAGCTCGTTTGGTTGCTAAAGGCTTCACTCAGGCTGAAGGTATTGATTATCATGACACTTTTTCTCCTACTGCTAAGATGATTACGGTGCGTTGTCTTCTTGCTTTTGCTGCTAGTCAGTAATGCTTTCTTACATGGTGACTTACATGAAGAAATCTATATGTCTCCTCCTCCTGGTCTTCGACGACAGGGGGAGAATCTTGTGTGTCGCCTTCACAAGTCACTTTATGGTCTTAAGCAGGCTTCTCGCCAATGGTTTGCCAAATTCACTAGTGCCATCATTTCTGCCGGTTTTCAACAATCCAAAGCTGACTATTCATTGTTCACTAAAAAGTCTGGTATTTCTTTCACAGCTTTGCTCATTTATGTGGATGATATTGTGATTACAGGCAATGATGCTAGTGCCATTAATTCTCTGAAGTCTTTTCTCCGTGATCATTTTCGGATAAAAGACCTTGGTGATTTAAAATATTTTTTGGGTATTGAGGTTTCTCGTTCCAAACAAGGGATTTATATTTCTCAACGCAAGTATGCATTAGAGATTCTCAAGGACTATGGTTTTTTGGGAGCACGACCCATTGCTTTTCCTATGGATGACACAAAATTATTTGATAAAGGAGAACTTCTCAAGGATCCTGAAAAGTATCGACGATTAGTAGGTCGGTTAATATATCTCACTATCACTCGGCCGGATATCACCTATTCTGTGCATGTTCTAAGCCGTTTTATGCACGAGCCAAGGATATCTCATATGGATGCTGCGCTTCGTATTGTTCGTTATTTGAAGGCTACTCCAGGTCAAGGTTTATTATTTCGTTCTGACAACCAGACCAAGTTAACTGCGTTTTGTGATTCTGATTGGGCAGGTTGCCCTATCACTCGCCGTTCGACTACTGGGTATTGTGTATTCTTGGGCGGTTCTTTGATTTCTTGGCGGACGAAACGACAGAAAACCGTTTCGCTCTCTTCAGCAGAGGCGGAATATAGGGCCATGGCAGGTGCTTGTTGCGAGATAGTTTGGCTTCGTTTTTTGTTGAAGGATTTGAACATTCCTTTGGATGGTCCTTCCATTTTATTTTGTGATAATCAAGCAGCGTTACATATAGCTGCCAATCCTGTTTTTCATGAACGAACTCGTCACATTGAGATGGATTGTCACTTTATACGAGATAAGATTGTAGATGGCACAATAGAGACCAAGCATGTGGGTACGGCACAACAGTTGGCAGACTTGTTTACCAAACCTCTTGGGAAATAAAAGTTTTCGGGTATGTTACGCAAGTTGGGAGTTCTTAACATCCACTCTCCAACTTGATGGGGAGTGTTAGACAAATAAGGAATATACTAGCCGTCCTACAGCCGTCCTACCTTGTCCTACCTACACACTAGCCGTCCTACAGCCGTCAAGCCGTCCTACAGCCGTCCTACCTTGTCCTACCTACACACTAGCCGTCCTACAACCGTCAAGTCGTCCTACAGCCGTCCTACCTTGTCCTACCTACATACTAGGACGGCTACCTTGTCCTATCTACACACTTGTATCATGTATATATATCCTTGTAATCTTGTAGAGAAAGATAATGAGAAAAAAAGCATTCTCTTCCATTTTTTCCACATTCACGTATCAATATATTTTTAGCCTACATACCTTTTTCTACAAAAAAGAGACTCTATCTGCTGTGGATACAATATATGAGCTGAATATTTACACAGCTTTTATTTGCACTTATTCTTACCGGAAAGAACACATTCAATATCTAAGCTGAATATTTACGCATCTTTTTAACGGTAAGAACATGTGCAGTATCTGAGTTGAATATTTACAAAGGTTATTACCAGTAAGAACGCTTCATATATTTCCTAGATTTTTTTTAAAATTATTTCGAAATAGTAGGTAAAGTGTTAGAAAAATGCATGGCCGGTAATGACTCGTCTTGACATGCTAACCTTTGCATCGTGGCACGCCATAACAAGCCTTGCAAATTGTCGACAGAATGCATGGTGTGCATAACATGCATTCTGCCAACAGTTTGCAACGCTTGTTATGTTGCGACCAACGACGATGTTCTGGCGTGCCACGATGCGACGGTTACCATGTCAAGACAAGCTATGACATGTAATTTTCTAACACTTTGACATGCTAACCCTCACATTTTGACATGTCAAACCATCAATGTTAGTAGATGTTACACAGAAAGGAAAAAACAAAATTACACGACGGTTCACCTTCCTCAGCTTTACCTTAATAATGTCCATGGCTTTAGAAATTTTCCTCTGAATTCTCTCAGATAAACCAGCTCTGTCATACGCCGATCATATACATAAGCCTCTCTCTCCTTTTCAAATTCTTAGTTTCAATTTCCTAAATTTTTCGAAAAACCAAGCGGAGTATTACAATTTATAAAAAGAAGAAAAATTGGACATCAGCAAAGCTTGTCATGTCGTGGCCTACAAATACAATGATATTTTGACGTGCCACAATGCTGGAACCTCTGACAATAACGGATTGGACATCAAGGGAGTTGTTTAAGAAGTGACACGTCACACAACACTACGGTGAGGATGTGAAAAGACTGTAAAGCCCTCGAGACGTCACTCTCGTGTACACACACGCACAACAATCAGTACAAAACCCTCTCGCTGATTTTCCCTCGCTTTCCAGAGTAAAATTAGGGTTTTGCTTTGCCTCCAGAGCTAGGGTTTTGCTTTCTCACGATGGTGGCGGACGCGGCGAAGCAGCCCAAGCTCACTGAGCGAGCTCCGGAGGACGACGCCGATCACCTTGACAAGGAGCTCGTGCTCTCCGTCGAGAAGTTGCAGGAGGTTCAAGACGAACTCGACAAGGTTCTGCAACCTCCCTGTTCTCTCTCTCTCTCTCTCTCTCTCTCTCTCTCTCTATGCTGCGTATATTTGTGTATAAATATATGTATTGGCAATTTGTATGTATAAAGGCGTCTGCATATCATAGCTCATAAGTGCTGCTCTCAATTTCAATTTCGATTTTATTTTAATTTTTGCTATTTGTATTGGATTTCAATCACCGTGTAGAGCTTTACATATTTTTAATTTCGTCCTTCATTTATTTTTGTGGTTTGGTTGGTGTTTTTGTTCGAATTCGAATTCGTATTCGTATGTTTCTTGGTGTTTTAGAGAATGTGACCTTAGGCAGGATCATCGGTTAAAGATAAATTGGGTTTTTTCTTCTTCCAAGGTTTAGTAATAAACAAGTAGAATTTTATATTGATGGAGAGTCTATTTAGGCATTTTGGGTTAGTTGTGAGTCTTGCCAAAACTTATTTCTTTCTTTTCGTCATTATAAAAGAAAAATCACGCATAAGCACTGTTCTAAAAATCTCCGCCTAGACGCGAGGTAGCTAGCAACCATCTCGATTAATGCCTAGGCATTTGAAAATTAAGAAAGGGCTCTAGACTTACTGAGGCACCCGTCTAGCTCGCCCAAACCCGCCCAGGCAGGTGCCTAGGTTGCGACTCACTTAGACAGAAAACAAATAACTTTCATTTTGCATTTTATTTTATTTTTCAATAAATTATAAGAGACTTGTTGAATACTTAAATGAACACACATTATATGTTTGTTTCTCATATTTTCATTATGTTCCAATACTTCATAATATACTGTCGTTCTATTTTATGGTTTATGATGAAATTATATATATTTTAAGTATAAACATACACTTATTTACACGAAATATAATAGATTTACTTAAATCCGCCTAATCCGCTTAGGCACCCGCCTAGGCCCCGTTTAGCCTTCTAGGCGCTAGGCCCCAGCCCACCGCCCGACTAGTGCCTTACGTCTTTTAGAACCTTGCGCATAAGATTGAGTGTTTTGTTTCTTTTTTCGTCAACTTCGTAAGAATTACTAGCATTTACAATTTGTGGGAAATGTAGTTAGCAACGTTAGTGGGTCATATACGGACAATGTTAATAAATGAATTTCGTACGAAACCTTCCTTTTGGATTTGTTGATTTGTGATAAGAAGGTTATTCTGGAAAATTTTGATGGGAGAATTTAAATAACAAGGGATGTATGAATGTGCCCGTATATGTTATCTTTATGCCTTGAGCACCTATCAATGTTTATATCAGAATAATTTGGTTCATTGGATAAGCTTAAGATTTCATTTTGGTATATAATGCTGATGAAACTTGAAATTGCATTGGCACCCCACAGGTTGATGATGAAGAGAATGACAAGGTTTTGGAAATTGAGCAAAAGTATAACGAGATACGCAGGCCCGTCTATGTGAAGCGGAATGAGATAATAAAAACCATTCCTGACTTTTGGCTAACTTCTGTTAGTGATCCGATATATTTCATATTCATCTTTTTTAGAATGTTTAATGGTTGATACATAATTTGGGCATGTATATAACTTGTGCATTATTGTTGCACGCAGTTCATGAGCCATCCTGTACTTTGTGATATTTTGAGTGCAGAAGACCAGAAGGTCAGACAAATACTTTGTTAAAATTTTTTACTTTTAGAGTAAATTTTCGTGTTTCCTCCTACTGTCTTAATTCTCTCAGCTGACTGGAATTGATCAATTCTGTGTATTTACCAATTCTCTTCTTTTCTTCTTCACATAGATTTTCAAGTATTTAAAGTCTATTGATGTGGTGGACTTCAAAGATGATAAGACGATAGGATACTCCGTCACATTTGTAAGCTCCTTCTTTTCGTGTTGACTTTACCTTGGGGACACGCACATTCTATTGTCTGTTCTCCATGCATGCTGCTTTTCTTTGTTCTTTTTGGATTTTGCTCCAATTATATAATGCCCATTTTTCTCTGATAGTGTTTGAATTACTCTTTGCTAATGCTTCTTTCTAATGCCTCTGTTTCAGAACTTTAATGACAACCCTTATTTTGAAGATACAAAGCTGACGAAAACTTTTACATATATTGATGGTGAGACAACAAAAATTACTGGTACTCCCGTCAAATGGAAGGAGGGCATGGTATTCACCGCATTTGCCACTTTGGCCCTTGTCTTCTTTTTTCTCTCTTCTTTTCTCCCTTCATAGAACTGGAGTTGTAAACTGTGTAGGGTCTTGCAAATGGAGTTACTGACGTGAAAAATGGAAAGAAACGACCCCATGTTGATGAGAGGTTATGTTCTTTTGATTCTATGTGTTCGTTTATAGCTAATCTGTTCTATTAGGCTGGGTTCAAGGGTTTATAAGCTATTAGGACCTCTTTTTGCTTGGCATAAAGTGAGTCCCCTGTTTTTTGTACATCTGAACCAAGAAGCAAAACATCTTTTGTACTGCTATGTATTCCATGTTGTATGCCCTTATAAAGGTACAATTGAGTACTACTTTAATAAGAATTAAATGCTTCAAATTTTTGTTAACATAGGAATTTATTACGTTGAGGATCTTATTTCTTATTTTTTCCTGTTTCCATATATATTTTGTAGTTCTTGCTCTTTGACTCACCTTTTGGCATTTTAATTATTGCAGCTTCTTCAGTTTGTTTAACGAAACTGAACATAAAGATATAGATGCGATTCATGATGAGGTAACGTCTGTTTTTGCTTATCTATATTCACTGAGTAACGCTTGTATGTATCTGTGCATGTTAATTTTTCATATGTAAAATGCTTCTTTTAAAAGGAAAATCACCTGATGGTTATCACTCATAACCCTCAAAATTAATGGTATTTGCTTGCCAATGTGTAGTTTTTAGTTATAGTTTCATCCTTTTATGGTTTAACCGTTGCCAATTCCTGCACGCTTTAAATTGAAGTTCAAAAAAATCTGCTTTTATTTTCCTTTTTAATCTTTACTGATCTTTCATTTACTGTGACATTGCAGGTGGTAGAGATAATCAAGAATGACTTATGGCCCAACCCTCTAAAGTATTTTAATAACGTAATAGTCTTTCTTCATGAGTGTATATTTGTTATTTTTAATACATCAACTGATCACTTCGGTTTTATTTATTTAAAAGTACTTGGTGACATCTATAGATCCCTTTTTTAAGGCCTTTGGAACAAACGGGATGGATTCTCGTCTCCTAGACTCGTCGGGAGTCCTAGTCCATCTCCAGGACGTGTTGGGAGTGCTAGTCTATCTACCAAGACTAACCCGGGCAGGCAGAGTAACTTTTTATATTTGTTGTTTCAGGAGGCTGATGAGGAGGAGGTCAATGAAGAGGATTCTGAAGATGATGAAATGGTAACGAAGATGAAATTTCATTGCCTATATGTTGTGTACATCATTATTCTTCTTTTCTAACTCATACAGAAAAAATTGTTTTTTACTAATGCGGGTTGTGGTTAGACCCGATGTTGAAAAAATGTGATGCTTACATGAATTACATATTCTGTGGCGTGTATAGGCATGTCATGCGAGTGATATATCCGTAGTTTAGTTGACAATTCGATAGGTTCTCTGTGTTTCTTTGTTTTGCCTCCTTTTACTGTGGCAAATGGTTGCATTGTGAAAATAGTCTGAGTCACTACATGTCTGTACCGAATAGAGTTCTTGCTCTTGCATATCGCAGTGGCACGCCGACGTGTTACAAAACCATAACAGCAAATTCAGTTCTGCTTTCGGAGCATGGTTTTACTTTTCATATTCATGGGCGGGTTATGAGAGGCTGGTCGATCAGCCCACTCATGCCCCACAAAACAGGATCCCATCCCCTCGAGTCTTACGAGTATATATTCCTTCTAGTCAGAGTTGATCACCTTGGATATTAGTGTGGAATTGATGACTAACAACTTCTGAATGCATATGTGCAGGAGAATGGTGACGAAGAAGATGATGAAGACGACAATGACGAGGAAGATAGCTAGATTCTTCTCGGGCCGACTTCTCTTTCATGGATTATGTCTTGGTCGATCAGCGATATGTACCGTTGTAGTAGGATACATGGGAAGAGAAGAGGACTTGTAGCTTATTAATCCCCCACAGCAGACTTGTCGCATATAAATTAGTCTCAGTTTATCGTTTAGGCCTTTTGGGTTTTGTTTTGGTGCGCAGAGTCGTTTTAGGATTGATGCAGCTGACCCCGTTTAACTGGATACGGCATTGTAGACGTTCTTATACAATTCAGTCTTATAGCAGATGTTGGTTTTAAAGCTTAAAAGACGTTGGTATTTTTCGTTACATTGGGGATAATCGAATCCCGGGGCTTAGGACCCTTAATCCCGACCAAACAACCCGCCCTTCCTCATCGCCTGAGCTAACCTCAAGGGCTTAAACCTTAAAGATCTTGTTAGCTAAAGATTTGCATAATTCCTAACTTTGGTTCTTGAGATTTGAAATCAATAGAAGTGGTTTCTAAGATTGTCCATTATTAATTATTTTGGTCATTCCATGAAAGATCTCTATTAAATAAAAATAAAATGACAAAAATGCCTTCAGTTTTTTGTCAAATCCTTTTGGCCTATGGTTTGTTAAATTGAAAGTATTTTTGTCATTTTAATCCTTATTTAACATAATTTTTTACGAAATGACCAACATGATTGATGGTGAACAATCTTAGAGACCATTTCTATTGATTTCAAATCTCATGAATCAAAGTGAAGAGTTATACAAATCTCATAAACCACTTTGGTTAAAAAACCAATAAATAAAGAAGACTACTTGTGTTGACCGCCGTCAACAACCCACATCATCGAGATTCCTCAAACATGTCAGGCCGAAAAATCGGTTCTCTAAAAAGCATTCAACTTCTGCACCAGACTCTCGGAGTTCGAATTCTTCCACTCCTAATATTGCTTGTATAAAAAAAAATGCAATAAGAAAGTTGGAATGCAGAGCAACTGTATTCCCAGCTGACGTGTACGTCAACATTTCCTTGAAATTCTCCACAATCTCCCCAAGTAGTGAACGATATGAATCCTCCATGGCTATTGTATTGTACAAATTACATCTTAACTAAGAAGAAAATGGGGATTGAATCCATCCCATATTGCATCCCATATTACATCTTAACTAAGAATTCAGGGAATCTTTGAAAGTATTTTTGTCATTTTAATTCTTATTTAATATAATTTTTTACGAAATGACCAACATAATTGATGATGAACAATCTTAAAGACCATTTCTATTGATTTCAAATCTCAAAAATCAAAGTGAGGAGTTGTACAAATCTCAGGAACCACGTTGGCTAAAAAGCCATAAAATAAAGAAGACTACTTGTGTTGACCGCCGTCAACAACCCACATCACCGAGATTCCTCAAACATGTCCGGCCGAAAAATCGGTTCTCTAAAAAGCATTCAACTTCTGCACCAGACACTCGGAGTTCGAATTCTTCCCCTCCTAATATTGCTTGTATAAAAAAAAAATTAAAAAAAAAATGCAATATGAAAGTTGGAATTCAGAGCAACTGTATTCCCAGCTTAAGTGTATGCCAACATTTCCTTGAAATTCTCCAAAATCTCCCAAATAGTGAACGATATGAATCCTCCATGGCTATTGTATTTGCACAAATTACACCTTAACTAAGAAGAAAATGGGGATTGAATCCATCCCATATTGCATCCTCTCCCAATTTCGGGATCACGTTGTCACCGTTGGAGCCAACAGCATCCTCGTGCGATTTAACGACCAACAAATACAGGTTAGAGATCAAAGGGTTCCTGAGAAACGGATTGATAGCTTTACCGAGTTCTGCAACATCAGACAGTAGATGCTTGTTATCACCAGTTTTCCCGTTGAGTACGCAAATCGAGAGGGTATGAAAGGCAAGCAAATTGGCATAAAGCGGCAGAAATGCATCCTTGTGGTTGCCCGCTCCACCAACCCAATCAGCTCCACCTAGTTTCGCGATGCGGTCCTTGGCAAATGCAGTCAACTGGCAAGAAAATCTGAGTCTCCAATCGCGTAGATAATCACTAAACTGTTGCTTGTTCAGAAAGTCAGCCGCCCAAGATTTTGAAATCGGAAGGTTCTCCAGTTGCGAACAGCATAGTTGACAGACGAACAGCTTTTCCTCATGATGATTATCGATCTCCTTATCAAATACCTGTCTCACAAGATCTCCTTTCGGCACCTCACGATTTGATGCATTCAGCACCCAGCGTAAAAGATAATCAAAATACCCAATCCAGTGACCAAAGATGGAAGATAGATGCTCAAAACAAGACCCGATCACTTTCTCCACTTGAGTCGGAACTACTCCACTACGAGAGCTTCCAGATCTTTTGCTCGTAAAACTCCCCTGAATACCAATAGCAAGCCTTTCTCTAATCTCATCATCTTCATCCTCCAGCAGCTGGATACATGTGAACCATATATCTAGTATTTGATGCCCGTAGAAATTAACCGCTTCTTTTGGTTCAAAAGTAGAGCATGAGTTTTCAGAAGGGATTCGGCTATTGAATACAGTGGAACCGATAAGCGCAGCTTGCTCTAGCAAACCAGATGCTATGATAGACTCTGCCGCTGCCATGCGCATGTTTATTGGCTCAGACGAAGCACTATGTTTCATAATTACGTTGGTGAAAAAGGAAATTATGCTATAAAGTCGGGTCAACTGATCGAACAAATCAGAGTCACTGTTGTCAATAAGAATAGAAGTTGTAAATAAACCTGAAAACCGCTTTATGCAGATTCCGAAGCAGCAGATGAGTGTTTGTTGAGCTTTTGCATGTCTTGTGACCTTGTACAAGGAAATCAACTTATCCCAAAGCAGAAACACAGAATCACATTCCATACTACCAACGTAAATTGTTTCCGTGCATTTTGCATCCCCAAGTTTCTGGAACTGCAGCGTGTTCCAAGTGAATAGAATCCTCAGTATGTAATATGAGCATCTGTGGTACTTCTCCACATCCAATATATTAACCAATGTCGTTTGGAGGTTAGTTCTGACCCAGTGCTGAATAACCCTAATCTCACTGCTGACGTCATGGGACTCGTTACCAGATTCTGTTGATGTTATGAATTTCAGCAGCCACTTCAATGTTGCAAGTCGTACTTCATAATCTGAATCTGACAAAGAGCGGACCAGCCTTTCCTGGAGTCCCGCAAAAGAGTTTTCCATTTCAGGTATCTCTGCATATCTTGAATTATTCTGAGAATACCTCTGAGGCGTCTGAAAAACATCTTCAGCCATTTTCTCTGATGCTTGAAACACGCAACTGAAATAGGAGACTGCTGCTTGTTGTCGGAGTTCTGCCATGGTTGGATCATAATATGAATGCCCGTTAGAAACCTTTACATCTAAGCATTCTGTAGATAACTCCAAAATTAGGTTGCGAAGAGCATAAATTTTGTTGCTAGTATGGCACGTCCTTGCAATACTGAGCATGTGATCCAGTAATTTTAGGAAAGAAGCATTGAGGATTGGACAAGGGCACAATCTGGGCTTTCCGATCCATGAATGCACTAAAAGAGCTTGAAACAAATCACCAAGAATCTGATCTTTCTTTGAGGAATCAGCCAGATTTCTACAGTTTGTATCCAGGAGAGAACTCAACTGCAGTAGAATTCCATGGATCCAATTATATGAACTCTGGTGTCTTCTTTCAGTTTTGTGAAGTAATAGGGACGATTCGGGAGTCAGTGCAGCTTGGTCATCTATTCTGGGCAACTCGGATACTATATTGAGGAGAACACTTGGCAGCTTCTCATTAGATACAAGGCCTGTTAAAGCTCTAGATGCAAGAACACGGACTCTTAGATTGCTTTGGGTAGAGCACTTTCTAATGAAGGGCATTAACAAAAAAGGATCCACGTCATCTCCAGTCTCACTTGCAATTGTTGAGGGCTTCAGCCTGGATAACAGAATCAAGACGGGGCACAAGCTTGGGTGCACAGCATTTTCTAGGTTGGATTCAGATTGTCCAGATATCCCGTCCGCAAGCAACACTGTCGCAACTTTCAGTTCCTTGAATAGAAATGGATGCAATAAGGGATACCTTCAAGGAAAAAGGATATTTTGATTAAGTAAAAGTTTACTCAGAAAACCTAATAAAATGTCAAAGCATTCAGCAAGAACCCATGACAGTAAGAAATAATTAGTCAAGGCATCCATACCGATGAAAAAATTCAACCCCAGTTAGTGCACGTCTTGACGACTCTCGTTTTTGGACATTAAGGAATCCAATCATCCGACGTACCAAAGCAGTGTATGCCTGACAAGCACTGTTCCGAACCTCCCAGTGGGGAGAAGAAAAGGAGCGAATTGAAACAATCATAGCCTCAGCAGAAAAACCTGAGGTGTCAGCAGCCAGGTTGGTATCATTGAAGGCGGCTCTGAGGACATTGAATGCATGTACAGTAGGAATGACACCCTCATCACGGATCTTTGAAACCTTGTCGCTAATATCTATATCTGACGGCACCAGAGACTCAAAAACTTTGCCCGACTTTATTGAGGGCAATTTACCCATGTCGCCATTAGAGCTGTTGGTTTCAACCAGACCCACAATAGATGCATTAGCAACATCTATGAGCCACCGTAGAGCCCGTGGGAGAAGTTTCTTAGGTGCACCTTCTGGCTCTGAGAGGAACAGTGCTATAAACGCAGCAGGAATACCTGCACTTCTCCTTAACAAGTCATCCACTGTTTGACCCTTGGCCACGGTTCTGTCCATAAGCTGCTCCATCCAGGTTTCTGTTAACTTGCAAAGTCTGAATGGGGACGGCATAATCCAACAAAAAAAAGTGATGAGATGCACAGAAACCGTATACATAATAGTATATAATACTACAATGTACAAACTAGAAAAATAATTTAAGAAAAAAAAAAGAAAAAAAAAAAAAAGAAAAGAAAAGAAGAAACATACCGGGGATCATTTGAACAAAGCAAACGGTTGCAAAGAGCTGTAAATCCGGCCCTTGTTTTATCAATTGCACCGTTGTGCTTCATCTTTAAAAGGACCTCCAAGAAGTGATTCCCAATACGTTCAAGTTGTTTCAAATCAAGCATTGCATCGGAAGCCACCAAAACTGAAGCATCAGAAGCACAAGAAGAGGTGGCTTCTGAATCTAATAATTCTGAGGAAGGGCTACTTGGTAAAGGAATCTTTCTTGTGATAGTTCCCAAAAGAAGACTCACCTGAAAATTAAGGCAAAAATAACATGGTCACATTGACGTACATTTACAAAACCTTGGTCTCGACAGTACATGATA